ACATAAAGATTTACAAATAGTTTACGTTGTTGCCTCTGCCGCCATCAGATTGTATGCTTTATTCCTCGCATTCTCATACGATTTAAAAAAGAACAGCTGAAATTAGCTCTCTAACCTAAACCTGGTCGGTGGGCTTTCAACTTAACAGTAGACAATGAAACGTAATAGCTACTGCTAGCTTCTGCAATTTTTTCTATGTTGTTTCAATCTGATTAAAATTCTTATCTATATTAACTCGAGTGCTCGTATATATAAGCTCTTATGAGGAAAACGAAATCAGATATCTATATTTTAGTTAGATTGATGTTGTTTACAACCTTCTTTTTGTAGATAATCTTTAACTTCGTGTCAATTGTAAGTGATTAACGTTTCTAATTATCGTTTTATTTTCATTTATACTTTAACAGAAACCCTCCCCCCTTTTCACCGTTTGCAGTCTTTCTTATTTCTATAAAGCAAAGATATACTCAGACCTGCTAATTCAATCCATTCTGCGTTAATATTACACCAGTTTTGGAACTTTAAGTTAGTACAATTTTATGTGCTTCCACACTCGCCAAAAGAAAACTGGAAAAAATGTTTACGAACACCTTCTATCAAAAGACGGAAAAATAACATTTTGGGAGGGCAACTTATAAATGTTAATATTTAAAAAAACCTCTTTAGAGATCAGTTGTATCGAATCTTATGTAAAAATTCCGAATTTGGAAATTTTCATAGGTCAAGGTCACTGTTATTTAACAGGTGAATGAAAATTGTAAATGTGCACCCTATAAGTACAAATGTCAATCTCGAACCATATTTGGCAACATAAATATCAAATTAGTCCTAAATATAGAAACTATAGTTATAATCCTTTGAATTATTCGAATTTATTTTGCTATAAACGCATATATGTAGGGGCGGCCAGCTGTCTAAACGTTACTCTGCGTTTTCCTTGAAATTTTAGCTTTGACCTTTGACCCAAATTTAAGAAAATCATGACCACTGTAGACAACGACGACATCAATATTTCGATGAGGCTTGTTCTCTTCTTTCCAATGATATCAAATACAGCCGTGTGTTATTCCGTTAACCCAAATCGATCAAATTCGTTGACTGGGCACCCTACTAAATGTGGATTGTAAAACTGGTTTCTTTGATTTTTGTTGTACCAAACAAATATCGAGACACTGCGTTTACATTTAGGAATTTACTTTTTTCATAGTTTCTATTGTAAATGAGATCATTGTCCTTAAGGTGAATAGACAATAAGATTAATTTACGATAGATTTTTTGTTTAAAGAATTCTAAAAGGAATTTCCATTAAATGTCCAGGGTAAAGAATATTTTGCTGACTTTATTTTCGAGAAACATGGAGCTCAATTCAAACTATTAGTTCATAATAAAGATTCTGTTTGGGCAATTCTGACTTTGGTGAATAGAACAAAACAAAAACGATCTTTAGAGGGTCGGGAGTCTGGTGTGTGTGTGTGCGTGTGGTGAGGGATTTATTAATTTTATTGCCTTCTTGGAGTCAAAACAAACGTTTCTTCGTTATTTTGGAAAATTTGAGTGATTTGTAATTTATATTAAGGTGGGGTAATTGATAATTTCAAAACTAAAATCGTCTCGTTTGTCATAGATTCTGGTACTGAGATGACCGATTATGTCAAATTCGAGGTATAAGTCTAAAAATGAGGCGGAGGAAGCCGCTTCTGTTGTTTGTTTAATTTCTAGTTCTTGAGGATATATTAATGGAACCCAACCAGAAAAGTTTGGTTTGTTAATGGAAAGAACATCATCAATATATCTGAATGTGAAATTAAATTATCTGGCTTCTTTGATCTTCTTGTGTCTGAAGGAACTCCGACTCATATGAAAATATGAAGAGGTCGGCAAGGAAAGGCGCACATTTCGTTCCCATAGGAATGCCGACAATTTGTTGAAAAAGTCTACCTCGAAATTCAACAAATATGTTGTCAATAATATACTCCAGCATACTGATCACTTGTTCCTCTGTGTAGCATGTTTTGCCTTTTTGTTCACTATTAACAAAATATGCCGTAAGGTATTCAAAAGTAATAAATTTATAGCGTATGTTACCATTTTCATATTGAAAAGCATTGTGGATTATTAAAACTATGCCATAAAAATTAGATTAAGAGTGCTCTCAATATAAAAGGAGAGGTGAAAATTATCTTGATATACTCTTATAACATTAACATTTCATCTAGCTGAGTGTAGAAAGACCGACACGCCTTTCTACACTCAGCTAGAGGAAATGTTAATGTTATAAGATTGGTTATTTGATGGTGAAGAATAATAATCTCGTTTGTTAACGAATATAGCATCTATCAAGGAATAGCAGTATTGAAAGTTCGTTGTCAGTCTGATATATGACGATCCCAAAATTAATACAGTTAAACACTCTTTGTAGGTAGTTGACAATGCAATGTTTCGTTGAAGATCGTATACCAACATCAAGTGGTCTTTTTCTGTTAATCTTGTTAAAATTTTGTTTTTAAGGTAAATTGTCATTTTAGCTCACCAGGCACAAAGGATCAAGTGAGCCTTTTTCATCACTTGGTGCCGTCATCGTCATTAACTTTTACAATAATCTTCTCCTCTGAAACTGTTAGGTCAAATTTATCCTATTTGGCCACAATCTTCAATGGGGTATCTAGTTAAAAAAATGTGTCTGATGACCCCGCTTGCCAACCAAAAAAGCTGACTTGGCTAAAAATAGAACATAGGGATAAAATGCATGTGTTGTCTATTATCTTGAAAAATGCTATAAAGTAAAAAAATATGACAAGGTCAAACATGTTCAGAATGTTGGGATTGTTTATTTTAAACATGGAAATTGTCAGACGACTTCAGTCTTGAAGAAGTTATTGCTCTTAAATGACGAATTTTACCAATTAAAAAAAATGCCTATTATATCGAATACTATTAAAGATAGATGGAACCTTTGAACGCAAAACTGATCAGCAAGACAAGATCTACAAATAAGATTTATAACCAAAATTGTGTGACGACTCTTTATTGGAGTTGCTGCCCTTTATCCATATTTTTACCAGTTACTTAGCGTTTTTGCGTTATATCTTGAAACATATAATAGATCGATATACATTTTAAATAGCAAAATGATAAGAAAGACAAAATCCACCAATAAGCCAATATTGCAAAAATCATACGACGACTCCTTATTGGAGTTATTGCCTTTTAATAACGATTTTTACCTTTTTGGAGGATTTGGCCTGATATCTTTAAAACTATTATAATAGATAGATAAATACTTAAATAAGCAGAACGGATCAGCAAAACGAGATGTACATACAAATCTAATGCGGCATTCACACAGTGCCGATTATGGCTCCCGTTTGAGATCAGACAGCGCTATGACACGACAAGTGAAAAAGTTGGATTACTATCCTCAATGATCTGGAATGTCCTATCATTGTCTGGACGCAGTCGTAAAGGTTCGTAACAGATTCCTACGGATCGGGAATGGTCCGGAGAGGTCGGCCAGGCACCCCCGACATTTAGGTGCGTCCCGTAACATTCGGGGAAACTCAGCCGATTTTGTCAAGTCGGATTATAATCGTGACTATGTCGTGACAGATTCTGCTGTATCGGATCAAAATCGTAACAATGTTTTCTGTTTTCTGGACGGTGTCCTGTGGAACGGGCATCATGGTCTGGAGAAATCTGTCATTGCAGTTTTTTTGCCGATTGAGTCCAGATTGCATCCTGAATGCGAACCGTCTTTTATACGAAATTCGGCAATAATACCCACGTCAGAGTCCAGTCAATTACATAACACGATACGACTGAGTCCAGACAAAACCGGTTGCAATGCAATACAGCAGACTGTAATAGCAATGTGTTCCGACAGTACCTGCTCATCCCGAATATGGCGACAGTTTTCTAACGGATATCTTCCGTCAGCGTCGGTTCACTGTCTGATGTCTGTCGGGTCGCATTCGGCAGAATCGGGACGCTGTTGGGACAGATTCTGTTGTTTTTTTACCATGGGAAGATACAAATCGGATTAGAATCGGATTGAAAACGGGATAGTCGGGCCATATTCGGATGGAAACGGCTGAATTTGGACGCTTCCTGGACAATATCTGATTGTTGTCGTGATTAGATAATTGTTTTTTTACAAATTTTAATAAAAGTTTGAATTTCCAGCCTCGATTCACAGGATCTTGATCAGACTTTTAACAAATTTTAATCGGGAATGGTCCTATCAAGCACGGCAGCAAAATCGCAATTGTGTGACCCCGGCTTAATGGCCAGTTAATCGTTAGTCGACTTCTGATAGCAGTTGTTGCTCTTTAATGACGATTTTTACCCATTTTTAGTGGGATTTTTTATGCCTATTATCTTGAAAACTATAATGGGAAGATAGACACTTTCAACAGCAAAACATGATCAGCAAGATCTACACATGTCAAATTTTGCTTAAAGCGATATCAGACACTTTACAGAGGTGATTGCTCTTAAATGACGATTTGTTTACCCTTCGTTGTGTTTTGGGCAGAAACCAACTAGGTGAGCCTATAGTTCGTTTATTTCAGTTTTTTTAATTATATCAAACTCGTGAAAGATAACGTAAAAATGTTTTCCCGCTACACATATACATGTATTAAGTAAATAAGTATATAAACGTAGATTCTATCACACATAATTGTAAAATTTGTCTAATTTAGATAGCTACATTTTTTTTAATTGTATATGTGAAGCTTGCCGAGCATTTTAGAAAATTCATATATCGAAATATCATTATTATTGGAAGAAAGTGGTAAAACTACCATTATTTATAATTTATTGAAAGACCCTGATAACAATATTCCGAAATTATTTTTCCAAAAATCATATCCGAAAGTTAATGAATGTACCGGCACGTTCCAAAAAAGAATCCAAAGTGTCATGAATCGGGTAAATGCACGAAAAGTTGAAGAAATAAGAATCACAATTATCATTTTCAGAATGACGATGTTAGCCCAACAATGAAGGTCAGTAGCGCCTGGTCAGCAGGTTACACTGGAACTGGTATCGTTATTGCAGTATTGGACGATGGAATACAAACCGACCATCCTGATTTAGCTGCAAATGTTGTAAGTATCAATTATGAAATTTATGAATAACAAGGTCATTGCTCGGGGCCAAAAATGTCACAAATATAAAAAGAGAATATCAGGTATCTTTTTCAATAGCACACCTGTATCAACACTGTGTATATCATCACCACCGGATATAGTTACCCTTGGCCTGGTTCTCTGTTCATTGTCTAAGAAAAACTACATTACTGTACTGTACATATACCAACATATAGGTACCAAGGCCAAGGATACCTATAAATATGGTGGTGATAATACACAGTGATCAAGCCAAAACCGCAAGTAAATCCCGAGAGGTCTGCTCTTGGCATTACATTGGTCGAGGGTTGATACGGGGTGTTTTTTTTTAAAAAGTCATTCCATAAACACTTTATTGTCCCCCGCGTAACGCGTTGCGGAGGACATAGAAATACTGGGCGTCCGTCCGTCCGTTCGTGTGTCCGTCTGTCCGTCCGGTCTTTTTAGCGCTCTCACTGGTACAGTTCTTGCCAGACTTTTATAAAACTTATACTATAGGTAAATATCAGCAATATCTCGGACAAGTTTTATAATGGTGGCCGATCGACATTTTTTTTAAAGAGTTATTCCCCTTGGAAATATTAAATTTATGGAAAATGGCTTCGTTATCGCTCTCACTGGTACAGTTCTTGCCAGACTTTTATAAAACTTATACTATAAGTTAATATCAGCAATATCTCGGACAAGTTTTATAATGCCGGACGATCGACTTTTTAAAAAAAGAGTTACGACCCTTGGAAATATTTAATTTATGGAAAATGGCTTCGTTAGCGCTCTCACGGATACAGTTTTTTTATAAAACTTATAGTATACTATAAGTAATGCCCTTGAATGTCTGTTTGAAATAATTATTTAGTATACAATAAAAAAAACTTTTTTGTCCCCCACGCACGCTTTTTATTTATGAATTGTTATAAAGAACAACGAAAAAAAGTTTTTTTTTTTAAGTTATTGCCCCTGGATAGATAAAATATGTGCAACAGGACCAAAGAGCAGAAAACAGTCCAAGGCCACCAATGGATCTACAACACAGCGAGAAAATCCCTCACCCGGAGGCGAGCTTCAGCTGGCCCCTAAAAAAAATGTGTACTAGTTCAGTGAAAATAGACGTCACACTAAACTCAGAAACATATAAATGAACTAAGATTAAAAAACATACAAGACAAACAAAGGCCAGAGGCTCCTGACCTGTGCGGCGGGGTTAATAGATATAAGAAGATGTGGTTTAAGTGCCAATGAGACAACTCTCCATCCAAGTCAAAATTTATAAAAGTAAACCATTAAGCATGTTCTGTGAGATCTCAACCCTCCCCCATACCTCTAGCTAATGTAGAATAAAAAAACATTCAGCAATACGCACAATGAAATTCAGTTTAAAAGAAGTCCGTCCGAGTCCGATGTCAGAATAGGTAACAGAAAAACTAAGCAAAATGACAATGATACATAAATTAACAAAGGTCTACTAGCAGTTACTGACATGCTAGCTCCAGACCTCAATTAAACTGATTGAAAGATTATGTCTTCCTCGTATGAAAACCAAGCACAATCCCTCCCGTTATGGGTTTAGTATCATACCATCATAAAATATATGAGAAGAACATAACCCGTATCATGCCAACAACTGGTTTCAAAATAAATGTGTTTATTTCCGATGCAAAGACCCTATGAGTGAATCAATATTAATTCCGAAATATGCCATCTTTAATGACCCGGACAACAGTATCGTAACTATATCCCTTCTGAATAAGTCTGTTTAAAGGTTTGGTTATCTTTTGAGATGAATGACGGCATTGTTGTGCTTTGTATTGAATATTACCATAAAAGATTGGATGTGAAATACCTGAACGTATAAGATGTCTGCATGTTGATTTATACTAGTTCATTAACTAATCGCTTTCTGGAACAATGTGATCCAATCAGCACCATTTCGTTAATCCTTTATTGTTTAAATATATCTAATCGAACTGAATAATGCTCAAAAGTTGCTTTAAATGTAAACGCTAAAGGCCAACTCACAATCTTTCACAATAAACAGGTGTTTAAAACTATTTAAGGTGGTACCAAGCACTTTGACTAAAATTAATATGGCTCGTTTGGTTTTCATAAAATTTTGACAAAATATTTACTTTGACCCATTGACAAAAATATGAAAATTTCAAAAACTTGAACCACATACTTTATCGGAAAAATTTCATTGGATATAATGCAGTTTGACAAACATTAATTTCGATCATTGAGAAGCTTTATATTTCCTTTACAATAGAACGTGATTAAAACGTTCAGCTGATTTTTACAGAGTTATCTCCCTGTATGTTATGAGTTTGATGCATTCTTTAATTAAATACCAGCAATTTTGTTAGACATGCCTTTTATAGCTTGCTGTTCGATGTGAGCCAAGGCTCCGTGTTGAAGGCCGTACTTTGACCTACAATGGTTTACTTTTACAAATTGTGACTTGGATGGAGAGTTGTCTCATTGGCGCTCAGACCACATCTTCTTATATATATATATATATATATATATAAATGATAGTCGATGTTTTCTGAGATATATTTCATATCATTTGGAGATTCTTAACATAAACATTGTATATTCATTAATGAATACTTTTTTGTTTCAGGATACTGCCAATGACCTGGACATTTATAATTTCGATGATGATCCAAACCCATCTTCAGGCTACAGGTAAGAATATTCCTTCCTATATACTATACAATATACAGAAGATAATTTCGGATGTTTAAGGTTTCAACTCCCTCAGGCAAAGTTGACCTTAGATGAATTTGGCTATTTGTTTTAGGTATTTTTTGTCGTATAGCTCTTCGACTGTTTCGGTACTTATACATCCCTCGGATTTCAAATGTTTGGCATTGAGCGTTCCTGATGAAGGCAAATTTAGAAAAGCGCTTCGGACGCATGAAATTATTAAACGTGTTGTTTTCAATTTTTTGATAACGTATTAATTTCTTTATTTGATGTCACAGTACTCTGTTGAACATTTACATATTATACTGTAGATAACTGCAGCATCAATTGTTGAGACTGTTTGGATGCTTGTTGAGAAAATCAAGGAAGTCGTACTTTTTATCATCTAAAAAGTATAACACAAATAACGAACAACAAGGTAAATTCAAAATAGGGAGAAGTCTATCAACTAACGGAACGGGTGATTTTGTTTTTGTGAAGATTAAAACGACCATCGTTAGTCCTCATTAAAGACTTTTGATAGATTACACTCTAAAGCCTTTATATCCCCATGACTACATGTATGCAAAATTACTATGGGTAACCAAAATCGGGGCGAAACGACCCGGTGCGAACGCTAATCAGTTCAAAAATTGTCTTGGTGAACGTGAATCAGGGACTTAGGTTGCGAAAAAGAATAGGGTCAAAAAGATATATACATTTTCACAAAACATGGCATTTATAATGTTTGGTTAAGATATTGTTATGGTGTTGAACCACTTATTCAGGAACCGGTCTGGTAACATACCAGACTTCAGTGCATATCTAAAACAAAATAGTTTATACTCATAGCTAAAACTTTTAAAATATTTAGTTATAGCGGTGTGTTTGTATCAAACGAAAACTTAAAGACTGGGGATCACTGTGACATCCTTTTTGGGTGTTTATTTTGATTAATAAAAAGTTATGAAGACTGCTGTACCCCAATTTTTGACATTTTTACCTATTATGTCTGTTTGTCTTGTTCACACATTTTTGTCAATATAATGGAATCTTATGCGACTGATACAAATGAGAGGTTAAGCTAGCTTTACAAACCTGTTCGTGCATTTGTCATTGTTATTCAACGCAAAATAATTATCTAAGATACCTGGGACGATCTCATTTCTTAAAGGATCTCTTTTGTTTACTTATTGTACCTCGAACTTATTAACCCGGTGTAGGTCTTAAGGCTGAGGTTCTATTTACTAAAAGTTAATCTTGCATGACTAATTAGACACACGCTCTCAGAATCAGGGAGTTCAAAATAGGATCCGGAAAAACAGCCAGCGAAATACCATCAACAATCAGACGGTATTTGGATGAAATAACAAACCTGTCCGAAACCGGGAAATGTGGGCTTCAATAGGAATTTATTTACAGAATAAGTCCATATCTCATTTACTTATAGTGGCCGTTATTGATCGTAAATTCATTTCGTTTTGTTTTTGGTATTCGTCTGCGGTGGTGAAAAAAAAGGAGGGAAGGGGGAGGGGGGCTAATAGCTTAACTTACGATTTTGATCATGGTTCAACTTTATTCTAGTACGGCATACGATTTACCTCTAGCCAACGAACATGCCTGAAATATTTGTCACTGGACGTTAAGCAACCAACAATCAAACAATCTGGTCAACGCTCTATCTTATTAAAGTGTTACTCTAAAATTGTTAACATTTGCTTCAGGTCGATCCACTTTGCATCTCGTGATTATGCATGACATGTTTTCCACTGGACATTAAGGAAGCAATGAAACAATCTGCTTCATTTAGTGATGTATAATCATTAGTCTTTAGTTGATAATTGTCTCAAACAGTTTCCCATTTTTTATATATTTGATGTCATATGTGATTTTTTAAGCGAGGATTTCAGTAGAAATGACATTTTTGAATTTGCATTTACATGGATACGTTTGAAAACGTCTATAATATTATATCCTACATATGAAAAATACGTTGAATATTTTTTTGTAAATCGATTGGTCGAATGGTAAAATGGCGACAAACAATGGGATTGATTTATAACATGGTGTTTGAAGATCAAGAATGGAATCATAATGAAACAATGTAAGGACCTTTGATGTTTTATGATTTTATTTTAGATTTTTTCACCAATATCAAGAAGATCTGCAATAAACTAGCGGGGGGAGTAGAACTGAAAAAACCTTCATTGAGTAGCGATAACTCATATAGATCTATTGAAGCGTACGACGATTGCAGTCTCGTCTAGATGACAAAATTTGCTGTTTCAAGGTTTTTTTTTATCTGATATAGTTGTCTTAAAAGCAAAAATGGATAAAAAAAATGTTTTAAAGGGCTACAATTTATATAAGGATTCAACTTATTTTGGCTGTTTTCGTTTAATTTTTAGATACTGTCTTACTGATTGGTTTTGTTATTTAAAGTTTTCTTCATCTACAATTGTCCTTGCAAAAGGCGCAAAAAATGTGTTAAAATCAACCATGCGACTTATTTGAAGATTTAGCTGACCTTTGTTGTTGTTTCGTGAACGATTTTAATTATTTAACTTGTGCGTAGATCGTATTTCCCCCTCAAAGAGTTGTTCAAAAGGTTCTTTAACTAGATATAAGAAGATGTGGTATGAGTGCCAATGGGACAACTCTCCATCCAAGTCAAAATTTATAAAAGTAAACCATTATAGGTCAAAGTACGGTCTTCAACACGGGGCCTTGGCTTACACCGAACAGCAAGCTATAAAGGGCCCCAAAAACGTATAGATAGCGTGAAACACTCACAGCACGAGGCATCGGATATACGACATTTCTTTTTCGACCGGACGTATAGCTGCGTGTTCATACATCCGCACAGCCAAACAGACGCACCCCTTTATATAGGTTTTACTGTCGGACGGTAGAAGTCCCGAGATGTCAATATTTCTATACCCAAGTCAATCCTTTGGTTTTGAAAAAAATGAGATTTAGGTATACATTAATGCGACAGCAACCCAACGACACAGATAAATCAAAATATTAAGAGTCAACATACAGTAGAAAGATGCCTGTACTGATTAATTAGCTCAAAACCGCCCCAAGACTAAAAAATACGGAGTTGATTTAATAATATTTACCGTAAAAGGTATCCCAAAAGGCACATTTAATTTATTATTATTCACATTAAAAAAAATCCCAACAGAAACAAGTGTATAGTTGAAAAATATCACCTGCCTTTTTTTTTAACTTCAATCAGTGGAGATCAAAGAAGGTGCAATATAAACAAGTAGACGAAAAACACTTCACTATATAGTAACGGCAAGATAAAAGATGATAATGGGTGGCTGCTTAACGTCCAGCGGCAAATTAAATGCATATTCAGGACTATAAAATGTAAATATAATATAAATTATACTAATTCTGCTTTGTACGAGAACGACACGGTAAGCCGGATTTTTAATGTTTAAGTTCACAAGGTAACAGTTCACAGGAAGAAAAGTCACCCTACCCGGACACATTTCTACCTCTTTGCTCGTACTCTTAAATGCCACGTGTTAAGGGTTGAAACAGCAAATACCAACTTTAACGTCTTTGTTTGAACCGGTTGTGGTTCGAACCAACCAAATCCCGCTCTCGAGGCGAACACGCTCCCATGAGACCAAACAGGAGGTCGGTAGTACATGTATAGAATATCATACCAAAAACTCAAGTACAATAAACAATACAGTTTCACAGAATTCTCACAGTTACTAAAGCGAGCTAAATGTATCCAACCTAAATTAGATACATTAAATGATATTGGAAACTACACGTAAATATCGATGGCCGACTTCAGAGTAGATTCCATGAACATGATGGATCAACGCTCTCTGCAAATTAAAAAACACTTGCACCAATTATTTGAGATGTCCGGATGTGGCCAGCTGTTTCAAGGCTAAATTTCTGTCCTTATCAATAATACCCTCATTTTCCAGTGGTATTCTAAGTTTTACGTCCAACCTCACCGTCTACCTCCTATAATTGCAATACCTACCTATTATATATAAAATTTACGTGTTTTCGTCATGAATATGCATGAAATATTTGCCACAGGACGTAAAGCAAACAACAATCAATTACTTCATAGATTGTTCCATGTAGTACTACATAGTACACCAAAACAAGATCTTGTACAATGCTATAATGTAACATTTCCATTTAAATTACTTAATATTAGTGCAAAATGTTTTATGTTTTTTTTTTAATTTTATTTTATTGCCATTTTATACTACATGACTGAACACTAATATATATTTTTTTTAAATATTATTTTACTATTGTTCTTATCTACTGTTTTATTACGATTTACAATATATGATTATGTCAGGCAATTATAAAACTAAGAAGGTAAACGTGTGTTTTTTGGGTTTTTTTTAATGGGTTTATGCTTCATTTTGACGTGTAAAGGGGATGACGAACGACTAAAATAAAAGTTTGTTTTCATATAATACATTTCAATTTAAGAATGATTATCAACCTTGCGAAAATATTTCATTTATACACGTTTTGAAAGAGCCACTCAGACCTACATAACTGTTACATTTAGGCTATTTAGATACGGTTTTATTCATTGAAGTTTACAGGCATAGTTTTTTTTATTTTAAAAAATCTTAACAAAACAAGATTTATTAATAAAATTGGACTGAACAGACAACACTAATCATTTTGCATTTGCATGTTACGTAGTGTATAAAAAAAATACAGAATCAAAACCAAAAATGAACATTTACCTTAATATTGTGAAGGACCTTATGCATCTAGGTCTGTTCGATTAGAAGTTGAGAAACAAGCTGTATAAATAACTAATTGTTGGAAGAGTTTACTTACTGTTTTCATAAGGTCTGGTTTTTACAAATCTATTCCATGATTACTGACAGATTAAAAACATCAAATACATATAAGCAGTTAGTTCTTGTGCAGAACAGTTATTAGTCAGTTGTAAATGAGGTCTGTATAGGGTTTTGATTTACTCA